AAATAAGCCCTTACCATCCACTTTATCTAGGCCTCCCAAAATTTTCTACACTTTAATCAAATCTCACTGTAATTGTCTGTGTGGTAAGTGTGACGCTCTGCAGTTGCTTCACATTCATAGAGAAGCTTTTACTATTCTGTTTTAGATTTCTCATTAGTTCGGATTCTCGTTTTCTTTATCAGTTCGTTAGCCCTACTTTGCTGAATTTACATCTCAGGCTTACCAATTTTTTTTTGCCAACTTTATAAGGCTTCTCACTCGATCTAATATAATCCTTCAATAGCCATGTTTGACTCAATTCTCATGGGTTATTGTGCTTTTCAAAGTTTGTTGTAGACAATGTATTAAATTCTTTAAATGCTAGCCATTGCTTTTCTTCCATCAAACCTTTTATATTTTCGCAATCAACCACAGCCAACCAACCCTAATTCCTGAATTGCGTCCTTTATTTACATTTCAGATCTAGCTTCAGTTTCAACTGCATTTTTTGCAAACATAATGAAAAATTCAACATATTATGGTCACTCTTCCCTAATTGGTCTTTTATTGGGATTGTGTTAATATTGACAAACATGTATCCTGTGATGTGTTAGTAAAGTCTAGAGTTTACTGCGATGTCTTAATATTGACAGGAAGTTTTCTGTGTAAACTTTGATGGACGTTTATTAACAAGCATTCATGATGGGAGTTGACTGGCATTTTTTAAATGTTGATGGGGAGTTTCCTAAGATATGTTAGTATTTATGGGAATTGCATTGGGGCATATTAATATTAACAGGGTATTTACTGAGTCATGTTAAAAACCACCTCACCATTACCACCAAGCCATGAGATCAACCCTGGTTGATTGAAGTGTACAGGAGAACATACTGAAAGAGGCATCAGGTATTCCTAAAAATGAGGTGTAGACCTGGTGAAGGTACATGCCCATTTTGTATGCCAAGTAGCAGAAACAGCATGCAATAGCCAAAGCTAAGGGATCCCACATACAACAGATCAGACCTAAGCTCTGTCATCCTGTCACATCAAGTCATGAATGATGGTGAACAATTAAACAATTGACAGGAGGAGGAGGATCCACAAATATCCCTTTCTGTAATGATAGGGAATGGAGCACACCACTGCAGAAGTTAAGGCGTTTGCAACAATCTTCAGCCAGAAATGCAGAGTGGATGATCCATCCCAGCATCATAGATACCGGTCTTCAGCCAATTCTCTCATGTAATATCAAAAAATAGCAGATGGTTCTGGATATTGCAAACACATTGGATTCCGACAACATTTCAGGAATAGAGCTAAGGACTTGTACTTCAGAGCTACCTAAGTGATTCCAGTACAGTTACCAAACTGGCATCTACCCAGCAACCGGGAAAATTGTCCAGATTAACCTCAAAAAGCAGGACAAAGCTAATCTGGCCAGTGATTGTCAGCAAAATGATAAAAGGTGTGATCAACAGTGCTACCAATTGGCACTTTCTCCTCAATGACCTGCTCACTGGCATTCAGTTTGGATTCTGCAAGGACATCTCAGCTCCTGACTTCATGATAGCCTTGATCCAAACATGGACAAAAAAGCTGAATTCAAGAGGGCACATGAAAGTGACACTAAGGCCAAATGAGACATCAACATACCCAACCAAATCCGGAGCCAATGGAACTGGCCAACTCTCCAGTGGTTGGAGTCATACCTTACACATAGGAGGATGGTCGTGGTTGTCAGAGATCAGTCTTCTTAGCTCCAGGACATCTCTGCAGGAGTTCCTCAGGGCAGTGCCCTAGGGCCAACCATCTTCAGCTGCTTCATCAATGACCTTCCCTCCAGCATAAGGTCAGAAGTGGGGATGTTCTCTGGTGGTTGCACAATGTTCAGGACCATTCACGACGCCTCAGATACTGAGGCAGTCCATGATCAAAAGCAGCAAAATAGTTTGGACTGTTAAATGGCGAATAACATTTGTGCCACACAAATGCCAGGGCAATATCTTCACCAACAAGAGAGAATCCAACCATCATCATTAATGATCAATAGTGTAACTATTGCAAATCCCCCACAACTATAAACATCCTGTAAGGTTAATATTAACCAGAAACTGAACTGGAACAGCCATATAAATGCTGTGATTTCACAGGCTGGTCAGAGGCTTTGAATCCTGTGGTGAGTAACTCCCCTCCTGACTCCCCAAAGCCTGTGCCACCATCTACAAGGCACAAGGCAGGAGTGTGATGGAATACCCCCCACTTGTCCCTGGATGGGGTACAGCCCCAACAACACTCAAGAAGCTCGACACCATCCAGGACAAAGCAGCCCCCGCTTGATTGGCACCACATCCACAAACATCCCACTCCCTCCCCCACCGACGCTCAGTAACAGCAGTGTGTACCATCTACAAGATGCACTGCAGAAACTCACCAAAGGTCCTCAGGCAGCACCTTCCAAAATTGTGACTTCTACCACCTAGAAAGACTAGAGGAGTGACACATGGGAACAGCCCCCCTACAGGCTCCCCACAAGCTACGCACCACCCTGTTGGGAACTTTATTGTCATTCTGTCTCTGTTGCTAGGTCAGAATCCCAGTATTCCCTCTATTACAGCGCTGTACCTACAACCCAAGGACCGCAGCAGTTCAAGATGGTAGCTCACCACCTCCTCCAGAGCAGTTTGGGATAGGCCACAAGCCTTTGAATGAGCAAAGTAGAGCTGGGAATTAACTGTGAGGTTAGCATGTATATGCGTATATACACCCACAAGGCTGTGGAAGCTCAGTCATTATGTTTAAGGTATAAATCGAGATTTCTAAGTACCAACAATATGGAGGATATGAGGTTTAATAGGGAGAAAAGGCATTGAAGTGGGTGATCAACCACCAGCGCAGTGAATTGTGGAGCAGGTTGGATCGGCTAAGTGGCCCACTCCTGTTACTACGTGCCTCTGTCCTGGGGTGCCACATTTTACTGTTTGCCCAGCAGCCACATGGAGAGCACTGAGGAATACAGCTGATGAAGCTCCTGCCTTTTGTAGATTAGGTGGGTTATAGGGGTCTGGGTGGGATGCTCTGAGGGTCGGTGTGGACTTGTTGGGCCAAAGGGCCTGTTTCCACACCGTAGCGATTCTATGATTCTATGATTTTGACGCTAACAAGAGATGACATGCATCGTATGGGACACACCGATTGGCCGCATGGCTGGCTGGGTCATGGGAGCGTGCCCAGTTCCCTGTTTGTGGCTAGGCCTGTTCGGAATGGGCTACCTGAGGCGCTGCTGCCTGACGTTGACCCTCTGGTGAACCCCTGGGGGCCTGCACTCCATTTGAGTGACTCCTGGCATTGCGTCTGCCTCTTCAGTGTGATCTGCTTTGTGGCACTTGTGTCTGAACTGAAGCCTGTGCCTGAATGAGGGATACCTTCAAAGAATGCGGGAGAACAGGGTTAGGGAGGGAGGGAGAATCACTTTCTCTCCGATCAGCTGGAGAAATAATCCATCAGGGTGTCTCACATCTTAAAACCAAGGCTTTCACTCCTGTAGCATCTTCCGCGCGACCTTGGAATCTTACTGTGTAACCCTCAGCTTATTAAGTATTTAACACACTGAGAGTTCTGAGGAAGGGTCAGTTCTGAGGAAGGGTCACCGGACCCGAAACGTTAACTCTGACTTCTCTCCGCAGATGCTGCCAGACCTGCTGAACTTTTCCAGCAACTTGTGCTTTTATCTTTCTTTTTGTATTTAGTGACATTGGTTGAGGGATAAGTACGGGGCAGGACCATGAGGAGGGTTTTTTTTTTATTGGAACATCTGTGAGGAGGCAGACAGAGCTGGGGTGTAAGGTCAGACGATAGCCCCTCTGGCCGGGCAGCATTTGGAGACCATAAGGAGTAGGAGCAGGAGTAGGCCATTCAGCCCATCAAGGCTGAATTGTGACCTCGATCCCGCTCTCCCCTGTGTCTCCTGTAATCCTGAACTCAGTCATCGATCAGAAACCTGTCAATTTCAGCCCTGAGGAAATTCACTGACCTACCTCCCCTGGAGGAAAGTTCCAAACACGAGCGACTCAGTCAGAGAGGAAATTCTTCCTCATCTCAGTCTTAAATGGGAGAACTTTTGTTTTGACTTTAGGCCTGCTAATTTTAGATACTCCACGAGGGGCACAACCTCTGAGCATCCACCCTGCCTCACAATGGTACAGTTTCAATATGATCTTATCTGATTCCTCCCACCTGTAATGACTGTGGGCCCACTCTGCTGAATCTTTAAAGTGGGTCCTTTCATCCCAGGAACCAGCCACACAAACCTTCTCCCCACTGCTTCCAACGAATGCTTTTCCCTCCTTAAACAGGAATCTGAAACGGTGCTTCATTCTCACTCATTCACAGGAATGTGAGTGTCACCGACTGCATCAGGACTTATTGATGGGCTCTACTTGTGCTGGAGTAGGTGGGGGTGAGCTGCCTCCTTGAACCGCTGCAGTCCATGTGCTGTGGGTTGACCCACAATGCCCCTTAGGGAGGGAATTCCAGGATTCTGACCCAGCGACACTAAAGGAACAGCGATATATTTCCAAGTCAGGATGGGGAGTAGCTCGGAGGGGAACTTGCAGGGGGCTGGTGTTCCCATGTATCTGCTGCCCCTTGTCCTTCTGGATGGAAGTGGGTCGTGGTTTTGGAAGGTGCTGCCTGAGGATCTTTGGTGAATCTCTGCAGTGCATCTTGTAGATGGTACACACTGCTGTTACTGAGCGTCGGTGGGGGAGGGAGTGGGATGTTTGTGGATGTGGTGCCAGTCAAGCGGGGGCTGCTTTGTCCTGGATGGTGTCGAGCTTCTCGATGTTGTGACGATTTTATTGAATACGATGATTGTATGGTCGTGTGTATTTTGCATTAAGAAAAACAGTAAAATACAGTGATCCGGTGCCATTTTTAAACAGTCTAAGAACAAGAAAGAAAGAGAAAGAAAAGATAAAGCTGAAAAGAATGTCCGCCCTATGCCAGCTCATCGACAATGATACCTGCACTGCCAACCATCCTCCACTGCCTCGCCGCTCTCTACATCGGACCCAACCAACAGTAAAGTCACCACAGATACCATCTGTTGCCACCGGGCCAATTCTCCTCCGCCAACGCCTCACCAACACCTGCACCGGACTGACCGACATCGGAGTCATGTATCTGACCACTGGACCCGCCTCGTAGTTGTCTCCGTCGATGCCCGTTCTGCCACCGCTTTGCCACCGTCAGAGCCAGCCTCAACCAACGTCCAAAACACAAGTTGCTGGAAAAGCTCAGCAGGCCTGGCGGCATCTGTGAAGGAAAAAAGAATCAGAGTTAACGTTTCGGGTCCGGTGACCCTTCCTCGGAACTGATGGTGGCTGGGAAAACGCCGGTTTACGTGCAGGACCCAAAACGTTAACTCTGATATTTTTCTCCGCAGATGCTGCTGGGCCTGCTGAGCTTTTCCAGCAACTTGTGTTTTTGTTCCCGATTTATGGCATCCGCAGTTCTTTTGGTTTTTATCAACTAATAACAAAGTCGTCAATCCTCAGGCGCCAGCTTTTGTCGCTTGGCCTACCTCGCCTCACTGATGTAGCAGCCTCTCTGTTCGTCCCAGTGAAGGTGATGTTTTTGGAGCTACACCCATCCAAGCAAGTGGGGCGTTTTCCATCACATTTCTGTCAGAGATGGGGGTCTCTTGCTCCGAACTGTATTTATTTGGCTAGTCCAGTTCAGTTTGAGTTTAATGGTAACCTCCAGGTTCCTGATATCGAGGGGTTCAGCAGTGATAATGCCATTGGCTGTCAAGAGGCGACAGTTAGATTCTCTGGTCCTTGTCTGGTGCGAATGTTACTTACCTATTATCAGTCCAAGCCTGGATATTTTCCAGGCCTAGCTGCATTTGGACGCAGACTGTCTCAATGGGCTCACAAATGGTACAGAACATTGTACAATCATCAGTGAACATCCTCACTCCTGACTTAATGATGGTGGGAAGATCAAGGTCCAGTGTTAGCAATGCCTTGTACAATGGTAACAAGATTTCCCCACTTTGGATTTGATTTATTATTGTCCCATGTACCGAGATACAGTGAAAAGAATTGTATTGCATAAGCAATACCTTACATAAGTACATCAGGGTAATAGAACAGAGTGCAGAGTATAATGTTACAGCTACAGAGAATGTCATCTGCCAAATGTTCACCCACTTATTGTATCTACTCTTCTCCCTTCCTGGCTTGCCAATGGTTTGCCATCATACCTCTCCCTGGTTCCATGCCACCCTGGAGTGTGGGACTGGCTTATGTGTGGAGGGCTCTGGAGTGGAACTTGAAACCCTGAGATGAGAGTGGTCTCCACTAAGCCACACCTCAGACTTCTAGGGAATTTGTAAGAATTTACCAAGATGTTGCTGGCAGAGGAGGGTTTGTGTTATCAGGAGAGGCTGGATAGGCTGGGTCTTACCGCACTAGAACATCGGAGTTTGAGGAGTGACCTTATTGGGGTTTATAAAATCATGTGGGGCAGAGATAAGGTGAATGGTAGTTGTCTTTTCCCTAGGGTGGGGGATTTCAAGACTAAGGGGCATATTTTTAAGGTGAGAGGAGAAAGATTTAAAAAGGATGTGAGGGTTTTTTTTTATGCAGAGGGTGGTTCGCGTGTGCAATGAACTTCCAGAAGGAATGGTGGATATGGATACAGGTACAACGTTTAAAAGACATTTGGATAATTACGTGAATAAAAAAGGTTTGGAGGGATATGGGCCAGGAGCAGGCAGGTGGGGCTAGTTTGGCTTGGGATTATGGTCAGCATGGACTGGTTGGACCAAAGGGTCTGTTTCTGTGCTGTATGACAATATCTCTAGCAGTAACTCCGGAATGGGACATTCCTGAGTCCCTTATTGAGCTATTATGGGCTGAGTAAACCTGGCTCGAAAGGTTCTGGTCGCACTGCAGTCTGCAGCTCACTTACTGCGGTTAATGAGCTGTAATGGCCCAGGCCATTAGGACCTGTTAACTGATGGGCCAATAACTGATTACCCTCTAATTGTTTCACTTGGCTGCTCCTCACTGGGTGGTAGATCTGTCTGACATCTGCCTGTCTTGGTGATTATTTCATTCATACCCATTTTCAAAGCATACCACAGAACTACAACACTGATGGTGCTGGAAAGCTGAAATAAAGGCAGGAAACAGTAGGTCGGGGAGCGACTAAGAACAATGATCCTTCACCAAAACTGGAGGAATTGGGAGATTTAAAGGCACTCTCTACAATGATAACAATCTGCATTTGTATAGCTATAATCTTTAACAGGATGAGGGCGTCACTGGCTAGGCAGCATTTATTGTCCATCCCTAATTGCCCAGAGGGCACTTAAGAGTCACATTGCTGTGGGTCTGGAGTCACATGTAGCCCAGACCAAGTAAGGATGGCAGTTTCCTTCCCTAAATGACAAAAGTGAACCAGATGGGATTTTACCGACAATCAGCAATTGATTCATGGGCATTATTAGCTTCTTAATCCCAGATATTTATTGAATCCAAATTGCACCATCTGTCATGGGGGGATTCAAAGTCTCTGGATTAACAGTCCAGCGCTAATACCATTAGGCCATCGCCTCCCCTGGCACCGGGCAAACACCTTCAAGCATTCACTATGTTTCAACATGCCTCCATCGATCTGCATCTTTCACTTCTGATTACTGTTAGTCCACAGATATTGCCGGACGTGCTGAATATCTTCAGCCCTGGGAGTTTCAGCTGCCTGGTTTCACATTTCCAGCTTCCAGTGTATTTTTCTTTAGGGTCTGAGAAGATGGGAGCTGCTGGGGTCCCTGCCATTGTTCTGGTGAGCTTTATAATCACACCGTGATCCTGTTAACGCTGGTGTCGTTGTGTAATAAGGGAAAAGGTTATTGTGGTTGTTGGAGGTCAGTTACCTCAGCTCCAGCACATCTCTGCAGGAGTTCCTCAGGGAAGTGTCCTCGGCTCAACCATCTTCAGCTACTCTTTTTTATTTATTCATTTTGTGGGATGTGGGCGTCACTGGCTGGGCACAGCATTTATTGCCCTGTCCCTAGTTGCCCCCCTTGAGAAGGTGGGGGTGGGCTGCCTTCTTGACCCGCTGCAGTCCATGTGCTGTGGGTTGACCTACAATGTCCCTTAGGGAGGGAATTCCAGGATTCTGACCCCACGACGGTCAAAGAATGGCGATGTATTTCCAAATCAGGATGGTGAGTGGCTCGGAGGGGAACTTGCAGGGGGTGGTGTTCTCATGTATCTGCTGCCCCTTGTCCTTCTGGTTGGAAGTGGGTCGTGGGTTTGGAAGGTGCTGCCTGAGGATCTTTGATGAATTTCTGCAGAGCATCTTGTAGATGGTACACACTGCTGTTACTGAGCATCGGTGGGGGAGGGAGTGGGATGTTTGTGGATGTGGTGCCAATCAAGCGGGGGCTGCTTTGGCCTGGATGGTGTCAAGCTTCTTGAGTGTTGTTGGGGCTACCCCCATCCAGGGCAAGTGGGGGGGTATTCCATCACACTCCTGACTTGTGCCTTGCAGATGGTGGGACAGGCTTTGGGGAGGCAGGAGGGGAGTTTCTCGCTGCAGGATTCCCAGCCTCTGACCTGCTCTTGTAGCCGCTGTGTTTATGTGGTGGGTCCAGTTGAGTTTCTGGTCAATGGTTACCTCCAGGATGTTGATAGTGGGGGATTCAGTGATGGTAACACCATTGAATGTCAAATGGGCAGTGGTTAGATTGTCTCTTATTGGTGATGGTCGTAGCCTGGCATTTGTGTGGCACAAATGTTACTTCACAGCATTGCTCAACACAGAGAAAGTTAGGCAGTGAAACCATCATCTGAAACGTGGTTGGGTCAGGGGAGTTTTCATCTATCATCCGATCTAAAACTGATTAGCAATGTAGAGCCTTCCGTCAGAACCAACCTTTCTGAAGGTTCAGCTGTGGGTGATCGGTCTGGGTGAGGTTGGGAAGAAGTGTGAGTGCCTCCAAGTGTGGTGAGAGCTTCAGTCATTCATCTGGTAAAACAAGGACAGCCACATGGAACAGAAACCATTGCAGTCTGAAGTTTGAAACAAAGCATTCTTGTGTACATCTCATTTTCACCACATGAACAAAGCATTCTTATGTACATCTCTCATGTGTGAGGCGTGTGATAAATGATTCTCACAGTCATCAATCAAATCATTCTCACTGGGAAGAAACATGCAACCTGCGTGACAAACCATTCTCGGACTCATCAAACCTCTTTAGACATCATTCACTTCCGTGAAACCTTTCTGGTGTGAGGTTTGTGACATGACGTCTCCTTGGAAGCCAGCAGATCCACACCACAGAGAAACCATTCACTGACAAAGTATGTGAGCAATCATTCTCAAAGTCATCATACCTCCATACACATGAACATATTCACACAGGGGAGAAACCATTCAAGTGTGATGTGCAATGAAGTCTTTGTTAATTCCATCAAATCCGTTGGTCCATCAGAAAATACACAAAGCAAAGTAAATCTTCAAGTGGAGATTTAGAATATTTTTCTGAACTCTGCCTTTCCTAGGAGAGCAGAAGATTCACACAAACAAAGTCTTCAGGTCATGGCTTTCACTCACTCCTCTGATCTGCTGAAGCACCAGTGGATCCATACTGGTAAGAAACCATTCAATGCGAAGTGTGTGACAAGGCCTTCATGCAATAAAAACAGAAAGTTTTGGAGGAACTCAGCAGGTCTGACATCATCTGTGGAGGGAGAAACAAGAGTTAATGATTCAAGTCCAATATGACTTTTCAGAAGAGTTGGAGTTAGAGGAAACTAAGGAAGATTGGAATATTATGGCCAGTGTCTATGCAATTTACACTCCATCTTTACTGTACGTGAAATATCTCTTTAAAAGGAGCCCATTGTTCAGTCACTGTTTTCTCATTTGATTCTAATTTATCTGGATCAGATCCATTTTTCTCATTGAATTTGACTGTTCCTGAGTTAATTATTCTTACTCTGGATTATTTCTTTTTCATTGTAACATAAAGATTAGGTTGGCAAGGCTCACTGTCCCGTAAATGTTCCCCAATTGAGAACTGCAGCCATCATACCATTTTGGATTCACAGCTGTGGCTGCAGAAATACCTGATTACTCCCAGAATTAGAGT